TGTAAATTTCTTGGGAAATATTAAGTTTATCGGTGCTAACGCTTTAATACCAGCTAGTCTGCAAATGTATTTCCGCATGTTTTTCAATCCTTGTCCTTTTTTCTTTTTAAAAAGATCAAATAGAAAGGTAAAAATTGAAAAAAATTTTTATCGGCTTACAATCATCAACTGCCATAATTGTAATAAGCATATGTATCGATTCAAAGCGCATTCCGACATAACGTGTCGGGAGCGCATTTCGACAAAACGGATAAATTTAAAATAATTAAGAAACAACAGACAAAATTAGTTAATTTTATAATAATAAATATTCAAAAATAATTAATAATTACTTTGTTATTTATTTATTTATTTTTAAATCCTAAAGTGATGGGATAAAAAGGAAACAGTAAATTAAATATTCTTGATTTGTGTTTTTCCTAATTTGTGTCTAATTTTTTTCCTTTTTTTGACTGATTTGTGAGTTAAATCAAATATCGTGCCCTTTGATATAGTTAATGATTAATAATACAAATAAGAGCAAATTATTCTCAATTAAGTCGCCTGTAGAAACAATTGAAGTCAACAAATAGTATTTGGTGATTAAACCAACTATGCTTATATTGTTTCTGATATTTGTTAAAACGGAATATGTGTGCATCCATTCCTACTATGCATATTCCTAATCAGTAGGATATGGCTCCACCAAAGGACATATTAGAAATGTTCAAGACAAAAATTTTATTTGTTCTTAGAACAAATCTCTCATCAAAACAAAAGTTAAAAATCTTAATTTTGAGCTTATTTCTTTGTTAATTTTTTTATAAAAAAATTTTTTACTAAATCTAATTTTTATACTAAAACTAAAAGTAACAAAATAAAATGAATATTCGATAAAAAAATTTCTTTGTTTTCGTTTGCATTTTACCCTTAATTTTTTGGAATTTTTAATTTTTATATTTTTTTTGTCATTTTCTGAAATTTTTTTTGTTTTATAACTAATTTTTAAATTCTTTCGTGTATACATTTTGTTCACCTTCTTGTATTTACCAATAGGTAATTTAACTAATCTTCACTTCACTCAATCGGACTCTGTAGCTTCACTATCAATATCTTCATTACTTTGAGTTTCCGTATACGTAGCTGGTTCTCTTTTTAACAATTACTATTTTTCAATGTTGAAATTCAGTCTTTTATTGATAAAATTCTTTATCCTTTTTGTATACTTTATTAATTAAGATTAGTTTTTATTTTACAGAAAATTTTTAACTATTTTAAACTAAATATGTACTCTGAGTATAATATTTAGTAAAATAGTCCCTCAAGTCCAGCAATTTTTGCTCTGAATAGACCGTTTTCCGCTCGACCGTTTTTCCGCCGTTTTCCGCTCGACATGCCCGGCTTCCTCCGCAGCGGCAAAAACTTTTTTCCGCGTAGACCACTATGTGAGGGCTAAACAAACGGTCATAACTTTGTCAAATCAATACATATTTCGTTGATTTTGGATTTATTCGACTCAGCTTGACGAGCTCTTTCGAATGAGATATAATTTGCATATTCGAATTTTTCACCCCCAAAAAACAGCTTACACCCCCATATGGTTTTTCGATGAATTATGTTTATTTTTTTATCTAGTTTAGTAAGCTATTCTAGGGAATAACATTTTCTAACCCCTACTCTGAACTCCGAACTTTTTAAGGCTAAACCAATACCTCAAAACTTTTTTAAAGCTTTCACCTCCGTTAATTTATATGAATCTAAAATATTAAGATAAGATTTAAATAATTTCTATTTGTTCCATTTTATCTGTTAGAAATATAATATTTGAGAAGATACATAAAAATAATAATCACAGTATATAATGAAAAAGTCGGGCAATTTTAAATAATGATATGATTAGAGGTCGGCGCGGGACGGGATCCCGACGGGATTTTCCGGGATCCCGATCCCGAAATCCCGGATTTTTTTGATTTTCGGGATCATTCATTATTTTATAATTTTCGGGATTTTTAAATTAGCATATCCCAAGCATGTTTTACTCTAGTGATTCTGAAAATTTTCGCCCCGGCGCAAAGAAATGAAGAAATCTGGCATAAGGAACCCCAAAATTCTCAAAAATTTTGCCTGCGGCGCTGAAAAAGTGAATTATTTTAGCCTACGGTCGTCAAAATTTTGAAAATTTACGCCTGCGACGCTGAAAATGTAAGAAATCTGTCTTCATATGCTCCAACATTCTCAAAATGTTCGCCTGCTGCGCTGCAAACGGAGAAATTTGGAGGTATTATCGGAGGTAAAGTGGATGGATTAGTATATAGTGGGATTTTATCAAGGGACCTAGTGATTAATCCACCTATGTCCCTATAAATCTATTAGATTTTTACAAATTTAATATTATTACATATAAATTGCTGTATTTTGATGCACTTTATTTATAAAAATTTTAAATTATTTATTTAAAAAAAAATCCCGAATCCCGGTCGGGATCCCGGATAATTATTTTCGGGATTTTTGAAATTCGGGATTTTTTCGGGATTTATCCCTCGGGATCCCGTCCCGGCCTCGGTTAAAAAATAAAATCCCGACTCGGGATCCCGGAAGTGCGATTTTGCCGACCTCTAGATATGATATAGGTATGTATATGTATGTTGCTAAAAAATATGAAATAATGACAAAAAATTTTTTGAGTGTTTTAAAATGTAAAAAATTTTTGAATAGATTTTGTTAATAATTTTACTATCAACGATGTCAGTAGATTTACATAGTTGGAATTTATAATTTATGAATTTAAAATAATTTTTTGTGTTTTATATTTGCTTAAACAGTGAAATAATCCTCTATGTTAAATTAGTGTTTGTCTGGTTCTTCAATTAAAATAGATTTTCCTTTATCTGCTTTTGCCATACCTATATATTTAATTTAATATATTTTAATTAAAGTTATTAACCAAAATTCAATTCATGTTATAGCATATACTGTTTGGAATCTTGTTTTACTTATCTACCAACTAGGTTTCCATGGCTCTATTATTACCTCCTTGTTTGAGAAAGCTTAATCACACGTATTTAAAAGGAGGAGACTTTAACCCTCTCTAACTCATAACCTCGACCTTTATATGGCTAAAACCCATCCTCAAAATTCTCAACTCGAAACATCAGCAATTTTTAGTCGACTTCGACATCAAATAGGGATTCTAGTCCTTTAGTCCTATATTATTCCTACTTAGTATTCACTCCATACATTTTATTCAGAATTCCTTTTCATTAAATGAAACTATGTTAAAATTTTAAATTAAAAAAATGAACTTACCCTCGGTTTTGTTTTTATTAAATTCGTTATTAGCTTTAACATTTTTAGATAACGCATGAACATATGTAAAAGTACGAAAACAATTTTTAATTAAATAACTAAAATTCGTTCTAAAACATTCTACTACGTCTTTTGCATATTTTTTCCGTTTTTCTTTAAACTCTAAATCTTTTTCTGTTTCGTTTTCCTTATCAGATGTTTCAATTAAAATATTTGAAATTACATCTTCTAATAGTTTTATTGTATTATTAATAATTACGGGAAATTCAGAATGCCCTTCATTCATTCTTGATGCAATATGTGTATCAACAATATCATATAAACTTTCATTTTCTATTTCTATTGATGGCATGCTTAAATAAATAAAATTATAAAAAATATTATTTTAGAGTAATTTTTAATTGAATAAAAGATTAAGTTATATGTATTAAAAATCAAAAAACTACTAAAATTCCCAATTTTTTAGTCAATTTGTGTTATAATTTTGATAATAAAATTGGACTCAATTTTCAGAAAGCATTGCTAGCTGCTGATTATTCATGAATTTTAGAAAATGTACGAAGGTATACTATTTTCTTGTAATTTAACTTCACTATTAGAAAAAGAATCAAAAATATCGGAGCTGTCCGGACAGAATTGGTGTAAAATTTTTCTGAAGCGGACATCAGTCTCGAATCGGAAAGACCAGTCACGAATTGGGTTGAGGAATAATAATTTAATATTTACGCTGACTCTCATATCCATAGTCCATATAATCTAAGGAATAAGTTTAGGAATTAGTTTAGGAATCTAAGGAATAAGTTGGTTTATTTGCTTAATAAAGGGGTGAGCGGTGAATATTGTCTTTTATACAGCATTAACAACTATTATTTATGTATTCCCTTAGGCTTTAAGATAACTGGGTATGAGTCAGTGTTGACGCTAGTCCCACAAAATACGAGATACGAGATTCACGAGATATTCTCAATAAAAATACGAGAACGAGATAAAAAGAGATCAACCCTAGTGTGAGTTCCCTCAGTTCTTCCATGTTTAATACTGGACTGGATTATAAATTTAAATTATTATTTGTAGTAAACACGTCATTTATTTATGTAATCGGATTAACCCAAATTAATTAATTAGTTTTTAAAATTCACAAACATTCTTTCATAAAGAATAATTAAAATTGATGGGCCAAAAATTGTTAAACGACTATCAACAAGCTTTTGTTTCTGAATAATTTCATTAAATAAAATTGAATATTGCAAAAAATTATAAATATTAACAGCAAGATCGTGTAAAGTGACATGTTCTATTTTGTCCATATTATAATAAAGTATACTCATGGTATATAATGAAGTTTTATTTTTAAATATTACTTCACCTAAAAATAAATTTTGAAATTTAATTAGATATTTTAACAAAGTTTGGACAGATCAGATTTTTCCTATAAATGTACCTTTTTCCTATTATTGCCTATTTTTATTATCCTGTCCTGAAATTTGGCCTTTTAACTATAAATATTTCCTTAAACCAGGATTCGGATTCGTACTTATTTTGGAAGTAATGTACTTACAACACGATCCTTGTAATTGCACAGCGTACTTATCTTTTTAAAATTTTTCCCCTTATGTACTTAAAATTGAACTTTTTGACTTACACTTAACATTTTCTCGATCCGAACCCTGCCTTAAATTAATCATTTATTATTGGGATCCGGAGATTCTCTGCTCCTATATCACACCCAGATAATATCCGTTAAGTAAATTAATTTTAATTAATTTATAATATGTACTTATTGCATAATCAACAGATAATTTTTCTCCTTCCTTTTGTTTCAAATCTAAAACAAAATATAAAGATGTTTCCAAATCTTCTTCTATAATATCTAATACATTATTTTCTTTAATTCGATAAAATTCCAAAAATTTATGCCCGAGCAAAATTAATTCGTTATTATTTTCAGCTAGTGGTTGATATTTCATAGAAATTGAATAAAAATTATCCTCAAATTTTTTAACAAAATTATCATCATAACGCCAATTTGCAATCATTTCGAATGATATGTCGAATAATAAAAAATAATCTTTCATCAGTTCAAAAAAGGATATAATAGACTTTTCAATTCCAAAGTAATCCACTAAATTAAATTTTTTATTTAACAGAATTTTGTCCAAAACATATAATGCTGATATATATACTCTATTTATATGTATAAATGCAGATCTTTCAGGAACTATTTTTTTAGACTTAGGTTGATTTAATAATTGTTCATTTTTTGTAAATAGTTCGCTTATTTTCTGGATATCTATTGCATTATCCCCAAATTCACTTTTGTAAGCCTTTCTAGCTTCTTTTTCAGCTTTTATATTTTGTTGATCCATCTTTCGAAGATAACTATTTTTTTCTTTTATAATGTCATCTAAAAACTTTATATCTTCCAAATCTTTCTGTGTATTTTTCTTTTTATTATTATCTTGTTCTTTTATTTTTGTCTTTCCTTTATTCTTCTTTTTCTTTCTTTTATCAGCTTTTTTACTATCAACAGATTTAGTTTCATTTGAAGTATCAGATTCATGTACTAACTAAAAATTTTAATAATGATATGTCTAGTTTTAGATTGCTAAGTAAAAATTTTAATATAAAAACTCATGCTCTTGACACATAAAGCATTCAAATGGACAAGAAAAAGCTTGTAAACTTGAAACAATTATTTTTTTCGGCGACAGAGACATAAATGAACAGCTGTAAGAAAAACTCAAATGGTCAATTGATCTTTAGGCTAGAATTGAGATCATCGCAGGAAAGGCCCGCGCGCTAATTAGTCTTTTACACTTTAATATGTATAAAAAATATTTTATTATTATGTAGAGTATTTGGGTGCCGGAATTTTCGTCTCTGGAAATTTCGTCTCCAAGACTTTTCGGAACTTTCGTCTCCAACATTTTCGGAATTTTCGTCTCCAGCGGAATATTAGTCTCCAAGGAAATAAACGGAATATTCGTCTTCGCAATTTTCGTCTCCGCTAGGAATTTTCGTCTCCAGAGGAAAATTACCTGTTACCGGAACAACATCCCCGTTGACGGAACAACATACCCCGTTGACGGAACAACATCCCCGTTGACGGAACAACATACCCCGTTGACGGAAAAACATCCCCGTTGACGGAACAACATCCCCCGTTACCGGAACAACATACCCCGTTAACGGAACAACATCCCCCGTTGACGGAATAACATCCCCCGTTACCGGAACAACATACCCCGTGGAACAACATCCCCCGTTGACGGAACAACATCCCCCGTTGACGGAAAAACATCCCCCGTTACCGGAACAACATACCCCGTTTACGGAACAACATCCCCCGTTGACGGAACAACATCCCCGTTGACGGAACAACATCCCCAGTTGCGAAACAACTTTCAACCGTTGCCGGAACACATCATTTTTCCTCTGGTCCGTCAACTGGTAATTTTACTCTGGAGACGAAAATTCCTAGCGGAGACGAAAATTGCGGAGACGAATATTCCGTTTTCTTCCGTGGAGACGAAATTTCCGCTGGAGACGAAAATTCCGAAAACGTTCGAGACGAAAGTTCCGAAAAGTCTTGGAGACGAAATTACCAGAGACAAAAATTCCGTACACCGAGTATTTTTTCATTAGACTTTTGACCCCATTTATATTATGTTTATCTCTTTCGGCAACGAAATAATAAGAACGTTGATGTGTTTATTTGATGAATCTAAGTGCTCTGACCACGCAAGACGCTTTCTAGTGCCCCAACAAGTTTCACATTATGTATTTAATTATTATTATAGACGTTCATACCTTTAAATCCTTTGATTGTGTTAGTGGCAAATTATCATCATTAATCTTTAGTTTATTTAAATATTGTTTTTCCAAACTGTCTTCATCTTCGATAATCCTAGATTCTTTATTTTTATCTTCTATATTTTCCTCTATATCAGAAATTATTTTTAAATTTTGGTTTTTGCCCTTTTTCTTCTGTTTACTTGACGATTCCTGCCATTCTTCTTTTTTATGATCTAGAACTAATTTTTGTTGATCATCTTTAATCTAAAATAATTACTATAATACAAACTAATTTTAACGGAAACCTTCGGGTTTTCTATTAAATTTTTTTCTACCAACTCCATTTTTAAATTTGTAGTTTCTTTATCAATATTCCCTGCTGTTTCTGCGATTTTTAAATCATTTTTCTTTTGTATACCTTTTTTCTTTTTGGATTTTTTATTTTCTATCAGAGACTCGCCCATATCAATTTTATCGACATTATCCTTTATGGTTTCACTATTATTTAATGATAAATCTTCTGAATTATTGTCAGGCTTGTTATCTTCAATTTCCATATCAAAAAGAACACCATCCTTTATTTCTTTTATCTTTTCACTTAACAAAGTTAACAATCGAAAGTCACTATTTTCTTCAATAAATTTATATGGCTTTCTATAATATTTTAGTAAATTAACTATATGTCTTGGAAAATTATTCTCTGTGTATTTTTTACTCTCCTCCACATATTCAAGGAAATATGGTATCTTTCGGCAATTATGAACAATTTCTGGCGATCCATCATGAAGGAATTTCCTTGTTTCTTCTGAAAATTAATATACTAAATGAATTATAGTTCAACGGCCCTAATTTTGTCGAATGCGAATTTTAATATGTAAAAAATTTGATCTTTATAAATTTTTAAACAAATTTAGATATTTTTTATGGTGAATCAGTGAGTCAGTTTCATTTTGAAGTTCATTCATTTGTATTGTTTTTACATATTGAGAGAGAAAATAAAAGTTATGTGTATTAGTATATATATTATTCTTAGTTTGGTTGCTTCTTAGAACCTTGCCTCAAAATAGAACAAAAAGATCTCTATCCAAACCATACCATTTTTTATGTCAAATAACTCATTTAGATCTGTATTCGTCATTACATAAGACTCCAACCAATACTTCCATTTAGAATTATCAAATATTTTAAGGATAACAATTTTGAACAAATGTGTAGTTACATAAATTTCTTTAGACCCAACAACCTAATATTTAAAAAATAATTGACTATCTTATATTAAATTTCAATTAATTACTTGAAATTCCATTAAATGTTTCTTTTGATTTGGCAAAAATAATGGTCCAGTATAAATAAATGTTTCTTCTGCTACTTTTGCCATGCAACTTAAAAAATATCTAATACACCTTTTTTAAATTGTAACTAGTGTTTGTCCCCGTCCCCAAAATTCGAAAAATTTGAGAGAATTGAAAATCAAAATTTTCTGCTGCGGCCTATATAGCAATACAATCTCATAACACTCAAAATCTTAATCCCCCCTTCCCCTACCCTCAAAACATCCGATATCCCTATAAATCCTCTGTTAGCCTCGATATCTATTATGTAAGTTTTTAAGTAAACTCATAAATCTAGTCGGTATCTATTTTTAAATCATCCTCTAGAGGGGGTATTCTATTAGATTGGGTCATCAGCTAGAGAGGGCATTAAATTAGAGGAAATAAATTTATTGATGTTATTTATTTACCTAATGTATTCTTCAATAACCCTCCAATGTCCACTGTTAACCTCCTTGTATTGTGGCACTGAATTTGTAAGGTAAAAGCCTTGCTCGTGTTGATGTAAATTTCCCGTTGCTAAATGGCCATGATTATGTAAAGAATTCTTAATTTACAAAATTTAGGGGAAAAAGATTAGGTTAAACCGGATGGCACTCATAATCATTATATTTTGGCTGGAATATTTCCGAAAAATTTGGATCTGGTCCCCAATCAAATCTTCCAGCAGCTAAATTATTCATATTTTCCTTCGTTAAATATTCCAAAACCCAATTTGGTATTCTCTTCCTTCTATTAAAGTTTATGATAAAATCCTTAAAATTTTTTTATTAATTATGGAAGTTGGATTTTTTCGGCAAGCTTCTTCCCTTTTTTCTATTAATTTCTTTCTAGGACATTTAATAGTCTTTGAATAATGCCTTTGTCTCTCATCTGGGGTCTTTTAGTAATGGAAAATTCCTCATAAGAAATTCCTCTTTTAAGGAGGATTCCTCTCTAACACAAAAAACAAGGAATGAAACAAAAATCATCAAAAAAACCACGATTAATAAATTATTAAAAGATTAGATTTAAGCAACCTTATATATTCGAATATTCGATTTTCTATATTTTTCTCTATTTGCCTCCGTTATATCGCTTAATTTGATATTTTTAAATTTTTTTGCAAATGTTGGATGATATAATTCATTTTTATATTTTTTAAACTTATTTTTTGAGGTTGGCTCCGCTGCTTTAAATAATTTGCTATTATCACAAATATCTATAATTTATTTAGATTTTATAAAATCTTGAAAACTATATTAGAGATGTTGATGACTTGAAATTTTCCTTAGCTCAAAACCAATACGAGACCTAAGACATGATACTAAAACTTAAAAAAGAGGATTCATTACTTAAGGATTCATTACTTAACTTATACCTTAAGACATTTGATCTTAAATTTCATGTAAAAGGGATTTTCTAAGAATACTAAAAATTCGAGACAACTCGACAATTGTGAATACCGTTACCCAATCCCGATTTGCTAATACCGATATGAATTACCGAGAAGATAAATGAAACAATATATTTACGCAAAAGTTGTGAGAGGAAAAGAATTTCCTATATTTTCTAGTTAAACGGCCTTCTCTGATAGAGCGCGATTTGGAAGGGGATCAAAAAAAGGAGAAAATGAAATTTTATTTAATTATATTTTATTAAATATACCTATCTTCTCTATCTTAACAAATTCGGAATTATGCAACAAATCAATCAACTCAAATCCAATATACCATTCTAAAAATTCCAATTCATTTTTGAATAATTCTCCCATTATTTTAGAATCTTTAATATAACTTTTGTAGTCCCAATTACTATTTAAATGGTCTTTTCCACAATTTTCTTTAGGACTATCATCAGATTTTGTATCTTCATTCCAAATAGCATCAGTAAAAATTATGTCAGAACAATATTTTTTACTTTCATATTCAATAATAATAACTTTGAAAACTTGGTTTATTGGGGGATGCTTTACTTCATTGTTGAACTTAAATAATAAATTATAAAAATGAAGAAAAGTTCTTTTAACTAATTTGATGAAGAATGTGATTGTAATAATGAGATAATTAAGGTTCTGCCCGTTGAGAAAATACAGGAATCGTTGATAAAATACATGAACTCTCTTCCTTGCGGGATAGTTCGTCAACCCAGTGCACAGTAAATAGGGAAATTCGACTAGGAAATAGTTGTATTCTGATATTCCCAATGTCAACGATCAGAGGAATCAGGCCATGGAAAACTTTAAATACAATGTTAAGATA